ATACAAGTTACGCCATGGCCGAACCCACAATGCGGCGATTCGCTGCCGCGCAAATTAGATGTGTGCTTGTGTGAGGGCGGTGCCAAAAATGCATACTCGTAAGAGCCTTACGCGTATGTATGTAACTCCACCCCCTAGCATGCATACATACACGAAACTGATCGAACTGCCAGTGGATCTCGAAATTTCAAACGCTCGTCTTTCGTTTATTTCTCAACAGAACTTCCCAATCGATATATCAAAAGATAGAGAACTAATTTTCAAACTTTTTGGTATATAGCAAGTGGAAATCTATGGCAAATGAAGAAAGTTATGGCTGTTTTGGTTTCTCGTAAACAAAGCATAGGCCCGTGCGAGGAGGCGTTGCTTGCATCCTATGCTAAGTCTATGAGAAACTAAAACAGCCATAACTTTCTTCATTTGCCATAGATTTTCACTTGCTATATACCAAAAAGTTTGAAAATTAATTCTCTATCTTTCGATATATCGATTGGGAAGTTCTGTTGAGAGGCAAACGAAAGAATCGTGCTGCAAGTTTTGGGGATTGACTGGCAGTCAGGTCGGCTACTTGTATGTTTATGAGCGAGCTGGTCACATCTACACGCGTACCGCACACCAGCTCGTTCGAAGCCATACGCATAAACCAATTTCGACGGCCGGAAGTCTTACTTATATAGATGGGTGCTAACTTATGTGACATACAAGTTGCAGCGCAAAGCCCCTATTATCACTTGTAACTTGCACATTTCCCAACGAAAACTATTTACCGATATTTCAAACGAAAGATAAAAAAATTACAAGAATTTTGATACCAAGCAATTTGTTTTTTATGGGATCTAAAAGAAAATCGAGGCACCTAAAGTTTCTCGTAGACAAAGCATACTATTTCATCGTGAAAACTGAAACTAAACCGTGGATTCAAATTCCATGCTTTGTCTACGAGAAACTTTAGGTGCCTGGATTTTCTTTTAGATCCCATAGAAAACAACTTGCTTGGTATCAAAATTCTTGTCATATTTTTCTCTTTCGTTTGAGATATCGGTTGATGGTTTCCGTTCGGTGCATGTGTTTGAATTCAGCATGAGTCTGTGCTCAGTTGCATGTTTACAGTTTATTGGTCATTTGGTCTTGACTAATAAATTGTCGGTCGCGGACCGAATGTAAAACCCTTTTGAAGTCCATTGTAGAAGCACTCACCTTCCTTCGTGCGGGTGAAACGCAAAACACTACTTAGATGTTTTTCGCATTCTGTGCACTATCACAGCATGGAATCGCGTAGGGGACACCTGAGACACGGTAACATCCGCGTTCGTAGGCGCTGTCTTCAGTTAGCAAATCGATATAAAGCTTCGCTCCTGCGTGCCAATGGCCCGTTCGGTGCATTTAATGTTTAATACAGTGTCTCCGGTTTTTCCTGCGCGAATTCATATTGTAAAAATGTCCGGAATGCGAAAAACTTCGAAGTAGTGTTTCGCATTTCGGATAGACAAATTGTTTCTGGGGATGAAAACGCCGGTAGTAGAGTGTAAAAGATTCAATACAAAAAAGTCAAAGTGTGTAAATAATTAAATATACGTCCAAAAAGCTAAATTTCTTACGGTTAGTTTTGCATCGCATAGGGAGATGGCGGAGGCCCTTTGATGTTTCGACTTTATGGTGTGGATTATCTGGTGGGAATAACCAGCTACGGCGTCCGAGGGTAAAAACTCTTACTGTTTCTACTGTAATTTAACGACGTACCAGTACAAACTACGTTGTGCTAAGCGAAATCCAAGCAGCGAAGCGAACAATTTTCAGTACTTCGTCTCTGAATTCTCGCCCATAGCGGGGTTACTGGTTAATGTGCAGGTGTCATCGGGGCACACCGAACGTCTTTACCAAGGTTACCCATTACCTGGACTGGATCCAGCGTGTGGCCAACAGTGAAACACCCGGCTCCAGCACGCCCGCTTCCGGGTGGCGGCGAGGAGCCACACCAAGGTTGCCGGGAGATATGGATGGCCGTACCGATGGTGTAGAGGACGAAAATGGTGATACGCCACGACCCGGAGATCATTCTGGCGGTGGACGGCGCGGCGGGGGTGAAGATAGCGGTGGATAAAAAAAAAACGGACGGGACCTGCGAGACGGTGGGCTCGACCCTCGTCTGCCCGACGCCGGACGGCGAACTGCGCTGTTGGGATCGCGGCGGTGAGCTCCTGTGTTCCGGAAGTTTCTTGTTTCCTCCTTTTATCAGCGGTGGGCGACGCTGCTTTAACTACGGTGGCGCGAGATACTGTTCTACAATCCGTAGTGCCGAATAGTAGAGGCGGAAGATTGTTGACTAGCCGCCGTATAGACAGTTTTTGCGCTATGATTAAATAACTACTACAAGTAACTAGTGCAGCCTCCGCGTGAAAGATTGTACGTGTGGACCACCATGAAATAAATTACTGTGTATCACTGTGCTTTACATAAATTACAGTATATCCCTGGACTTCTTGGTGAAAAGCGACTAAAAGCTGCGCTCTTATTAGTTATTACCGTATAGTCTTCGTGTTGCTCGCACATTCTTTATCCGCCGAGCGTCGAATTTTCTTTAGCGTGACCGTCTGCTCATTTTTATTGAAATAAAAAGTTTCGAGGCACATGTACATGCATATTTACGCCACGAAGCAGGATTTCAAAAAAAATTATTTGTCGGCTTTTAACTACAACTGTATCAGACTTTCTCACAGGAATTTTATATCTACCACAAGTTTCGTAAGCCAAGCATGCCGCCATGGCGGCCTTTACGAGAAATATGATTAAATTATGACAGTTTCAAACACTGCGACAAACTCTAACTTGGGAAAACTCAAAACCGTAAGACAAAATTTTTAGGCAATCTGAATCGTACAGTGTAGGACAAAATGACGCAGATCTGCTGGTAAAGCGTACTATGGAAGCAAGCGCTTATCCATTCGAACCCATTGTTGGCGATTGATGCCCACTAGCTGCATTCCTTTTGTAAACTGTTTGTTGATTATTGGAAACTAGTTTTCGATCTTTGGAGTGACTGGCCCATTCTTTTTTTTGTTTCCTCCGCGAGCAGTAAGCGAACTGATTCATACTGTCGTCAATCAGCAAATCGTTGCGTGTTGTGATTTCTTATCGCATCAAGCGGGCTTTTTGGATTCGATACAATCGCCGTTGTTGAGCGTCGGTCGTCAGTGACCAAAGGAAACTATAACGCGGGGCCGTATGGGCGCCACGCGTATCCTCGACAGCGAACAGCGGTGAACCCGGATGAGGCTTTAATGCCGAATCTAATGCGCACCGTGGCGCAGCAACACCAGACTAATGAGGAAGGATCCTGCAGCCAGTGCAACTGTGCTGCAGGTCCGTCAAAACAGCGCAGCAATGTGCGGGGTGGAAATCCCCAGAAACAGCGAATAGCTACTCAGGAGGGCGGGGCGTCCCGCCCTTACACCCCTTTTGCAAGCATCGCTACGTCCTCGGAGCGAAATCTCCCAGGATTCGGAGGATCCGCACCCCCCGCCGGTCCGGTTCGGGCGGTTAATCCGGTCGGCTCGGTTCCAGTTTGGTCGGCTCAAATCCGGTTCGGCTCAGGTTGGGTTCCGGGTCAGGTCGTCTCCGGTTCGGTCCGAGTCAACCGTCTGGGTCATCGCACTGTCGCGCCAGATCCAGGGTCCAACCCGGAAACGGGTAAATTCCGTTGTTTCTTCAGCAAGGGAAAGGTCACGTTCTGGGGAAATTTGGGCAGGGGTTGGGGTCTATGTGGCCCGTGACCCCTGCAAAAAAAACAAAGCACGCAAATCCGCGGTGAAATCCACTGCTCCGTCCGGGGGGAGGTCGCCGTCCCAGGAAGTTCGGGTAGTGTTATGGTGGGGGAATTCTTCGGCGTGATGCTGGTGGTCGATCCGTGCCGTTGGGATCGGAGTTGGTGCTGCTGTTGGCGGTGTATCCGTTCTGGTTTCCCGCTGGTCCGGGTCGCGTTCGCCGTCGGCATCGCAGGAGGCAATTCTCGCTCCACGGCATCGCAGGAGGCGTTTCTCGCTCCGCGGCATCTCCGTCCAGTTTGGGAGGCATCCGGCGCGGGGAGGCGTCCATCTCCGTCAGTTGGGAGAGGAATCCATCACGTTCCGCGGGAATGGGGGGCATTTGTAGCTCCACACATGGGGGTTAAACTGGCTCAAATAATCAGAGGAGCCGTGCGCGCGGGCAGCGCGCACGGCCTGGCTCGCAACCATGATCTGCGACCATATAACGCGGGGCCGTATGGGCGCCACGCGTATCCTCGACAGCGAACAGCGGTGAACCCGGATGAGGCTTTAATGCCGAATCTAATGCGCACCGTGGCGCAGCAACACCAGACTAATGAGGAAGGATCCTGCAGCCAGTGCAACTGTGCTGCAGGTCCGTCAAAACAGCGCAGCAATGTGCGGGGGGGAAATCCCCAGAAACAGCGAATAGCTACTCAGGAGGGCGGGGCGTCCCGCCCTTACAAAACCGTGCCAGTTTTCTTCGTAAAACTGATTTAATCTGCATTAACGTTAAGTCTTCGGTAATCACGCATGCTATGCGCTGCATTGTTGGTTTGGTATTAACGACTTTAAAATAATCTACGGGAAGCCGAGCCCAACATTTCTATGCAAAGAAGTGATGCCGGTCGCCTTCGTAAAAAGGCTGTAACACGCGACTACCGTGATCTTTCGATTAAACGCATAATTTCTAACGTGTTGAATAATCATTTTCCAATAGAAAAATTTCCAGTCTACCTCTGTATTGTAGAAGGTTGTCGGATCGCCAAGGGAAAATGCGCTTCGTACTGCTTATCGTTGTGAGCGGCTGCTGCCTAACAGTTATTAACGGTATGTTGCTATTATGTGCACGTTCGTTGAATGCTGCGAGTACAACTAATATTCTGACGAATTGGACCGCTTCTAGGCGACCCAGTGCCGAGATCCATCCCCGTGGACGGCCCGCATCCTGCCGCAGCGTCCTCGGCTGCCCGTCGCATGGATTCCGCCCTCAATGACGAGGACGTCAGAGACGACTCAGCGGAGCTCACTACGGCAGTTTCCGTTGCGGGGCGCAATACATGTAAGCTGGAGTAGGCACATCGGTGCGGGAACCGTTAACAGTTTTCGCTGAACGTTCCGCAGTTTATTTTATTTGTTACCTGATTATTTTTGTTTCCGATATATTGTCTGACAAGTCTGTTGGCGGATTGTTTCGACAATTAGGAAAATCGCGAAATAGTGGTCTTTGGTGAAACACAAAATTCAGAATTAGAAATTCAGAATACGAGTATACCATCTTTAGTCGCGCATGATGGTTTTAACTAAAAAAAAAGCTTTATGTTCAGATGCAGACGGCACAGTTGTCCCAGAAGACGAGCTCCAGTTTATGGTCAGCTTACGCCGCAACGGTCAGCACGTGTGTGGTGGATCGTTACTGCCGGATCTCCGGTCTGTCATCACCACCGCTCACTGCGTCCATGATGCTCAGTAAGATCGCAACCGCCTTTGAATAGCTGTCACGATGTACATCATAGGTACTGTGGTGCCAAGTAAATTACACACCATTTCGTATGGCGTGATACTCTAGAGCTGTATATGGGGTTCAGCGTTCGCTGAACGCGCTGAACAGCGTCAGGCTGCCAGTAGTAAAGGGCCGAGCGTTGCTCACTCCTGAAAAATCGTTTCTGCTTCAAAACGGCTCTCTATCAAGATTTATAGACTTGAATCTAGTCAAAATATATTTTTGCAATTTATGTTTACAAAACATGCCAACTGTATTACGTATTGTCTAGCTGCTGATTCGAATTGTTTTGCCGTACCCGCACATACTACTAAATATGAATTATTTCGAATTGCTTGTTCAGCCAGTTCGTAAGCCTGTAGACAGTGAACCCACTGAACGCTAAAGCCGTCCATACAGCGCTTGCCTAGCATGCTGTACGAAAAAGTGCGGAATTCACTTGGACATACAAATATACAGTACACTTATACTTTACAATAATAATACTTATGGCTCGTGCAGTCATGGTACGTACATTGTCATGTATCGTATCTGCACCCACGGTACAGCGTTACAGTACTTCGAATATTTATTTAGAAATAAAATTTCTGCTAGCTATTTTAAACTATTTTAAACAAAAGTTTTCATAAACCGAACCCCGAAACCGGCTGACACCCAGGCCCGCCAGAAAGGGGGGGGGGGCGCACCGGCGGTCACCCCCCTTTCCCGGGTTTTTGACCCCCCCGGCCCGGCGCGCCGTCCTGACGGCCGAGAAGGGCTCCGCCGCCCCGGCGCCGGTTTTACTGCCCTGGTTCCGTACGTTTTTTTAATTTTTTAATACGGAAATTAATGAAATTTGAAATTTTTGGTTCGAATTTAGTAATCTGCGTGTTCACAAAGCTTCAAAAACATTTTAAAACCAGACACAGGATAATACCATGTAGCGATCGACGGTTTTTGTCGGGCCAAAATACGGTTCGAAAATAAAAATAAATTAAAAATAATTTTTTTTTATTGAGCGCCCCCCGGCGGCGGCCAAAAAATGGTGCGCCCCCCCCGGCGCGTTTTTGGCAAAACTGCGCCGGAGGGCGCGCAAGCGCCCCCCCCCTTCCAAAAACCTTGTGGCGGGCCTGCTGACACCTCTTATTAATTTTCTCTTTTTTGGTAATTGGTTTGCTGTTTTGTCTAGTTTGCGTATACCGTATGTTTCAAAACTGTCCACTGACTACAGTTACCTGAAATTAAAGATATTACAAACAGGAAATACCTTACGATTTCTGAAAAATTCGTTTGGTTTGGAATTTACATGTTTAATATGAGTGGCCGAAACAGGAGAGAATTCAATGCAAAATACCTACAATATCGGACGCTGAAAGATAACCGTTAATAAGTATCGTAACACAAGTACACACTTAATACCAAAACAGAGCGTTCATTTATAACAGAAAAACTTCCTCTATGCTATACTGAGAGGGGAGCGTACCCATTACACAAATCGCGTTTCCCAATTGTATTTGCATAGATACTCGCTGCTTAAAAAACTCTTTCGCCCGCTTTTGGCCAGTGGAAGCCGCTATACCGTTTCCAACCTCCTCCACTAGCTTTTTAGTTCCGCCTCCCAAACGTCCGTAAATTTCGAAGGCTTCAGCCACAAAACGTTGAGAAGAACAATATGTTTCTTTGCAAGCCCTTCTCGGTTCGGTAGTACTGCCGATTTATGCGCGGTACCTTTTTATTGATTCTTTTCTAAAAATTTTTACCAACGACCGACTGGCTGACGTCTCAGTCAACCTACATTGTATAACGGCAGCACGCACAATTACCAGTGTGAAGCTTACAGTGGGAATCGCGTTCCTGTGGAGCACCTCAGCGTCGCCGTGGGAATTCGTCAGCGCACCCACATCCTACGCTCTCACATTTTTGCCGTACACCAGGTCGTGGTGCATCCCAGTTACGACAAACTGCGCATCGGGAACGATATCGCCGTTCTACGCTTAACCGGCAGCGCCGCCGGCATTGATAACGTGGCCGGCGTAAGACTGTCCTCTGTTGGCGTAGAACCACCCGTCGATGCGCCGCTACTGACGGCCGGCTGGGGACGCACGGAGCAAAGACCGTTCGCATCTTCGTCCAAAGTGTTGCTCCAAACCACGCTTCGGATGATGGATCGCGAAAAGTGTCGGCGAACTCTCGGTTTGAATACGATTCCGAAAAGTCAGATCTGTGCCGCGAGCTCGACATCCGCAACGTGCGAGGTACCCTTTAATTATCAGTATGACCGCGTTAAGCCGTTGTTGTCATGATGGCGTTTTGCTGATGTCTCGGCTTATATAGGGCGACGGTGGCGGTCTATTGGTTGACCGGCGGAACGGAGCGGATTATTTGGTTGGCTTAATCAGCTATGGCGCTTCCGGGTAAATTGCCTAATTTATGTAATCCGCGGTCGCGCACTGTGGTTAAAGATTTTCCTAAAAATTAATTAATGACCAATCAGTCACTTATATCAATTATTTATCGGTAGTAAAATATAAATACAGTCCATTAGCTAATTTCTGGTTCTAATACGCAGCCTTACAGAGACAGAGCATGCTTCGGTTCAGCATGTAGGTTCACATACATCCACTAAGACTAAAAATCAGTGTGCCGCGGTAGTACAGCAAGCACAGCCACATTCACTACAGTAAGCTTGCACCAATTAGGACGTGGACTATACAGATAGTATGTCCCCGGAAAGCGGTCAGGAAACTGGCTATAGCCAAAGTAAACAAGCTGCGGTACTGTGAGGTGTATAGTACCCCGTTACCATACCGTGAATTGTTTCAACCGTTCAGCGGAAATCTGATTGAACTTCTGTTAACGTATAATTTTGCACAGATGTCAGCGGGGCATGCCGACCGTCTTTACTAAGGTTAGCCACTACGCCGACTGGATCGAGCACGTCAGTAACGGCCATACTGGTGAGTTGAATTTGTCGCCGATCGATTTCCCTGTAGTTGACCGACCGTCTTGCACTTTGAACGTCGGTAAACGTTTCGCGCCTATTTTCGTTAAAAAAATCCGGTGACAGTTTATATATCCATGCATGGTCAGGAAAGGCGGTATACGGATGCCGCTGATGCATAAAATAACGATGTGAAGAAAGTTATAATAATATGTGGAGAGGAGAAGCATCGTACAACCGTACCCGAATCCATACTAAGTGTAGTGAAGATGTCCGGAATGCGAAAAACGTCGAAGAATACATTTGCAGAGGACCAAGCTACCGCTACCGCGGGTAATGGATTCCCGTTTTTCGTCGTTCTACGCCACAATGGTGTGCATGTATGCGGTGGATCATTGTTGCCGGATCTCCAGTCCGTCATCACCACCGCGCACTGCGTCCATGATAAACAGTACGTGAGCTACAATTTCTAAATAAGGATCTGGATGGGCAACTAAGGGTCCAAAGCGTGATGTGTCCGCCGTCCGGCACAATCGTGGTTGGGCTGTCCTGGTGACCCATGACGTTGAATTAGTAATTAGACCCTCGACCAGCTGTATATATGTATGTCTGTAATTGTCGCAAAATCAGTTAATAAGTATGCGACCGAGAGAACACAACAGTGGTGCACCTTTTACAGGAGAAATAGCGCACCAATGGGGGACCTCAGCGTCGTCGTGGGTACCACCCCGGCGTACCAATGTGCCGCGCTCCAACATCATCGCCGTACACCAGGTGGTGGTGCATCCCGATTACGACAAACTCGCATTCGCAACGACATCGCCATCCTGCGCTTGACGAGAAGTGTCGCCGGCATCGATCACGTGGCCGGCGTCAAAGTACCGCCTCTGAATCAGGAACCGCCTATTGGTGCAGTGCTGCAGACCGTTGTATGGAGCCGGACGCAGGAAGAGGTCGTGGAGCCGTTGCGCACCATTCCACTCAAGATAATGAACCGCGAAAAGTGCCGTCGAGCGCTGGGTAGTCAAACGATTCCCTCCAGCCAGATCTGCACCGAGAACGATGATGGCGGCCCTTGCAGTGTATGCTGTTGTCAATAGCCTATCATTACCCGATTTCATTTAGTCGGTTTTGTTACCTCATGTTTTCTTCTGTTTTCTTTAGTTTTCTAATGTTTTCTAACAGGGTGACGGCGGCGGTCCGTTGGTATTGCGGCGGATTAATGGGGATTATTTGGTCGGCTTGTCCAGCTACGGCACCAAAGGGTACTGTCGCTTGTGATTCATCATTACACCTTTAAATTGTCGGCGGCGTATTCTACTGTTGCCGTTTTTAACAGATGCCATCCCGGCACCGCGGACGTCTTTACAAAGGTCAGTCACTACTTGGACTGGATCCTACGGACGGTGGACAGCGCAAGTCCGGCTAGCAGTGGGTCCGCTTCCGGGTCGCAGCGACGGACTACGCCCTCCCCGTCGATCGGTTCTTGAGAAATTGACGATGAGGCAGAGTGGGAGCAGGACGCGCAGTTGCCGCGCCGAAATTAGTTGCTCGGCCAGTTGCTGCATGGCCTCGTTTTAAACTATGGTCAGTTTTGTGGCACGATGCTTCACTTTTAGGTTACAACAACCATAAGACAACCATAACCATAAGACCACCCAGTTATGATTCATCATTGCGTTATGAATTTCTGTCCATTTTACCGGCTAGCTGTTCTTCTTCACAATTTCTAGAATTCAATCTTGCCTTCGCTTGTTACAGCTTGCACTAGCTTGATCAGCTTGTTCCGCTTGTTAAACCCTTGTCTAAACCTTGCTCCTTGTGTTGCATTGTTCTTGTCATTAAACATGCCGTGAACTTCCGTTGTTACGTTCAGTAATTGTGTTACGTCAGTAAGAGCAGTCCCGGTCAGCATCGTTGCCGGCCGTGCCAACCTTTCATCCCAACAGCCCACACTACATCGTGGTACGGTCAACACGCCAACCCACTAGAACAGCAGCCAGATCGGCTACTGTTACAATACTGTCACGCTGTGTGTTCAGTGTTGGATGGCAGATACGTCAGCATTGTGAGACGTAATGCGTGCACGACGATTGGGAATTCATTCTTGTTAATTGGTGTGTCTACGGATAACGCAATCTGTTGGCAGTGGCTACTTCATCGTTTTGTTTACGCATAGGATGACAGCCACCAGTACGAGTACTGGAGGGGATTAATGAGAATACCAATATTACAAGCGTAAAACAACTAGGGAAAATCAACTATTAACCATCTTTGAATATCACTATCAGATCTGAAAACCTGTATAAGTACAGAGTATATCAAGAATGTTCAATTAATTTTATTTTATTTCTCAATATGTACAAGGCGAGCTTCGCTCAACAAATATGATCAAATGAAGAATTTGTCCCAATTAACATGAGAAGGGACCGTGCACAATACACTCATAGCATTACCACGCATAATCTCCAAACTTAAACGTTGAAACAGAAAACATGTAGAGCGACTCTCGCCCGTCCTTAAAAACAACTTCTTACCAATCTCCTTTAACGTAACAATGCCGGTCTCACACCAAGTGCCAAAAGTCTCACATGCAAAAGCGACAAAATTACAGCGATCAGTAAGCGACTTGTATTTTCCAACCTTCTCCCGGCAAGCCAGTTCGGCGGCAGCGCCAGCACACTTTGAGGTCGCGTCGATGTATGAATCCGCCATCGTGTCTCTGCAAGTAACGTCCCATACTAACGGCTGTCCGCGGTACCACTTCCAACGCGTGGCTCCATCCGGGCGCTTTCCGTTTTCACGCAAAAAACCAATGGGCTCCGGATATGATTCAATGCCAGCATTACACAGCGCTCGCAATCTAATATCGTTGATGCCGTTATGGCGTTCCCTTCTCCCGATGCACTTCTTGCAGGCTAGCCCATGGTATCCGTTTTCTGCAACCTCTTTACCACATCTCGCACATGAATGCTGTTCTACGATCTTAGCGCCAAGCCATAGGCCAACAGAAATGCGGAAATTTTGATCATCCAGGAAGTTTCCGAATACTTCCGCGGGAAGGGCGTTAAGCCAGGCCCCTGCGTGCTGACTGCTCTCAGACGTGCTTCGGCTCTTTTGTCATCACCAACATTATTCCACAAGGTGTCAACATCTTTTTGTATTACCGCGTTATCCCATACGCATTGGCGAACGCGTGCTAGATCCAACGGCAACTCTTCACCCGCAGACTCCAACTTCCAATTCTCGCACGCAGCGCTGACCAACTGTTCGCTGTTACCTTTGAAGATCTGAAGTGCTAGCTGACGAGTCGAATACATGGAAGCCAAAAAGGCCGAAGGAGCCAATGCTTTCGCTCGACGCATACCCAAACCTCCTTTGGCAACAGGGAGCGTTGCTTGTGTGTATACAAGTCCGTCCAACTTGGTATTAGTGATTTCTTCTAGGGCATCCTTGACGTGGCTATCGAACTCATCCAACCGGTCTGGCGCTTTCCAGCACGGACTGCAACGCAGCGTATACATGAGCTTCGGAATGGACAGACAGTTCCGCAAGAGGTAAAATCCGTGGTGGGCGTTAAGTAATTTCAATTAATTAATGCAACATTGAATTAAGGTTGCACTGGGGGAAAAACACAACTCTAGAGAGGTTCGACTTTAAATCAAAACTCTTCGCAACTGATTTTGCAGTAATCTTCAGGCGCTCTGCAAACGCGCCTTTTTAGCAGCACATCAAAGCAAATTCAAAAATGCAAAATACACAATCACAAAACCACAACAAGATTAGGCAAGCAAAACACAATTATGCAATCATCAAGACTAGGTTATATAAGCGTCCGACATCATCGGAATGATGTCATAGCATTAAGCGCGGTTTATTTTTGCACCTTTACAGAATTTTTTGCAGCTTTTCGCACGCACACGGTCTTTTTTTATTATGGACAAGTAACTTACACAGATACACGGATCTGTGGATCGGGCCTGAGTGCCGGACTAACATCCTTAACCCGTTGACGGGCATTGGCGTCAGGACGCAACATGGTGTTCGGAATTTTTTTTCCAATGATTGGGAACAGTTATTGAATATCAATTAGCATAATTAGCAATAAAGACTTTAAAGCAGCAGTAAAAACATAATTCAAACTTATATCTCAAGTTATTTACAAATGACCGTTGCTCAAAAATGGCTAATTTCGGACTTTTCAGGCTCTCGTAGATCTTGCTAATTAACTAATTAGTGGATGAATAGTTAAACCAGAGATAAATCAACAAAGGACAACTAACAACGCTCTATCCAAAATCGATTAATACGGGTCTCGTAAGTTGAACTGTAGAAGACCACAGTCCGTCAAAAATTTGTGTTGCGTGCCAACACCATTGCCCATGTAGGGTCTCGAATACACGGGCGGGTGCAATTTCGACTGTTTCTCTTTATCACATAAGCAGATCAAGTTGCTGTCGTTTCGTACGCAAAACATGCGCCACGCGGTTTTGTTGGTCAGAAGCTGGCAAAAAACGCTTTTGCGTATCAAAATCCCGGGCGGTCGGCGAAAAGACAAAATCATCTCTAAACTTTTCGGCTTAGAGGGACCGAACATGATAGTCCTAATTGTAATTCAACCGTCGTTGCAAAAACACTGTGAAAGGCGGCACACCACCACGCGCTTCGCACAGTTTCCACATACTCGTATTGATGCATTGCTTGGGCAAACTAGGCAAGAGCACTGCCTTTCAGAAACATGAGTTTTGTTCGATCAGTCTCGGGCGGTTGAAAACTACAGTAACTGCACACTGTACGCGTGCACATTGGGGATCTTGACCTTTGCGGCAGCCTAGCTAGTTTCTTCCGGTCGCTAATGCGTTCCAGAAGGTGCTAGTGACAACTGACCAGTGACCGCTAATATCTCATTTTGCGCCAATGACCATTGCAGCTGGACCACCGCGCCGCCTTTTTGGACAGTGGCACTTGCGGCCATACCAAGGAAAAATGCAAACGCGCACAATGCGGGCAGTATAAAGGCGGCTAGGCGTGCCAGACATTCAAGAAATGCAATGTTAAATTTAAAACATAATGCTTCGTGCAGTCTCGTATGAGAGCATGATGAAAGTTATGGAAGATAAAAATCGTTAGCATCGTTTATTTTCTGTATTCCGTCTGTAAATAGTGGTCAAAATACATGGCAACGGGATATGGTAGTTTTTAGTTTTTTGCTGACCAGTGGTCAACTTCTTTACCATTGCTATGCTCTTGTTTGGAAGTGCTTTTTTATACTATTTAATGGAATCATTGCTTTTATGTAATTCCCGTTCGTCTAATTATCACAAAATTAAACGTTTTTATGCTGTAGACTGTCCATGGGCATTGGCGTTGGCAAACACCCTAGTCACCACGGCTGACCTATGGTTGGCACAAGCTTACAAAAAATCCCCATTCTTAATTGATTTTTTTCATCGGGAAATCCCGATTTTCAAAAGGAAACTCGCATTCCTTCGGGTACCGCCCGCTGGAGGGTTAAAACCGTAAGTGGCAGGTTTTTGCTGACAGCGACCCTTTCGAAAGCGTTTTGTTCGAAATTATTTCAAGTGTGAACGTTTCAAGGTAGCAAACACTTGAAGAATCCGACACTTTTCCAGAGAAGATGAATAATTTTGATTATAAATCCAAGTACTGTTTATCGTGCCGCAGCACTTATGTTTTCCCCAGCCACGCAATTGTTCTACGGCCGTTGTCAGATGCAACGCTGAAAAGTAGGAAGACAAAGTGCCACACGGCTGTTTGTCGGCTTCTTGTCGTCGCTTTTCAAGTGTCTTGGCTGAAGGACTTTAGGCACAGACAGGCACCCACATTACATATATAAACAAAGCGCAAAGGCGCTACAAATTGTACTTTTTGCTACCTTCGATTTATTAATCCTGATTGCAAAACCTCCTATTGACAGTATCCCAGCCTTGTCCAAGGTCACCTGTGCGCTTGACAATGCCATCCTTTTGCGTTTTGATTGTTTGTGCGGTAAGTCAGGCATCTAGCTGTCGTCGTCCAGCATCAGTCATTCATTTTTCTCAATAGTGCATTGCCGGAATCCTTGCTGACCGCACCGCACTACCGTATTCGAAAGAGAACCACCGTGACATGGACAATTTGGATGTCCAGCAGGGTGATTCTGCGGCGCTGTCAAGAGTGCGACGCCACCAACAATCTGGACAGGCTCAGGGCGGATGGACTAACCGTGCAACCACTCCACCACCCCCCAAAGGTTGCCATCGCTTCGACTACCCACCAAATTGCTGGTTTAACGGATTTTACTACGTCCATTCCGATACGGGGCGCCTTTTCGAATAAACGACGGCTTCTCTCAGTGTCTTGGATCGTGTTCGCCCGAATTGGACTGTTAAGGTTATAGAAAATTGTCAGTTGCAACTGCTTCTTCTGCTATAGAGTAAAAATATTAGCTCTTCGCCCGGGAGCAAAGCGTTCTGCTTTGCTGTGAAAATAAAACATGCAATCTTTAAACAATAAACTTGATACCGTGAGAAAACAAGCTACCAGTGCAAAAAAAGGCCTGATGCCTACTCAGTAGTGGAAGATAATATTGCCGCCCTGCAAGAAATGTTCAGTGCACACCACAGCTAATTAGGCTAGGTGCTTATCCAGTTAATACGAGTACGGTTACAGTCTGTTGCAGGTTGAACTGACTTAAACAACAAATAATGATTGCATGCGCTACAGATATACAGTACAGTAAATGTCACGACAGCTGCTGATGGGCGTTGACAATGATTTTTTCGTTAATCGTTAGCTGGAGCAGTATGTCCTGCCTCCTGTAGAGAAACAGTGCCGCCGTCTGCTGCCTGTACTACTCGGGTGCCACGAGGACGCAGACTGCCAGTGGCAGGCGATTCGATTCCTAAACTGTTCGCAGGGCATTTCCGCGGAACCCATGTGGCAGATTAACCGGGCCGGAACCAAATTTCCGAAAGTCACAACGGCATGGGACCATCCGGCGAGCAACGCATGACTATTTACGCTACTGGACATGCGGACAAACAAGAATCTGCAGGACAAAAAGTGGCGGACAGACAGTTTCACAAGGATGTACTGAACAAAATGTGGCGGGCATACATATCAACAGGCTTGTGAAACCTGTTGATGTGTATGGCGCCACAGTTTGTCCTGCATATTCACAGCCGAAAGGCATTCTCGTCACGGTAGTCTGAACAGTATTTGTGCAGATCGTTGGTATCTGCCGGCATTCCTGCAAAAGCGGAGCCACGGAGTACATCCCTCACGTCAAATCGCCGACCAGACGAATACACCACCTTTGCGTGGAAACGCGGCATGTGTTTAGCATGGGACGTGACATGACGCCCCCAAATATACGGTCCGGCAAAACCGTCCGCATACCAATTTACAGCCCGGTAAAACCGTCCGCCCCCGAATTTACTGCCCGGATCGTTCACGAAATCGAGCAGAGCAGAAAAACCTGGGCGGGCAAAATTAGGGCGGACGTTTTCTTGGACCGCCGGGCGGTTCTGCCGGCATGCAGGCAAAAGTGTACACCAAATCGTCATCGGCGAAGTAGTTGCCGCAGCGGCCGCTTAGCGGTACCTCGTTGTCGTCTGGGTAGTCGTCCGGGGACCGGGGTAAGGCGTTCTGTGAGGTGATCTGCAAAGATGTGTCGAGTTTAGCATGTTTACCCAACAATTTAATGTGAAGTAATGCGTAGCGGAGACTGTCGTCACGCAGTAAAGGCACGCCAGCAAAATCCACTTGGAGATCATTCTCGAGACGTGGATTACACGGTACACTTTCTTGGCGGGAAATAATCAGTTTTCTTCATCATTTTACTGCAGTTGTTATCAGATGCGCTGGGTTCGTCGGATCCTCGTGGCGTACGACAATCGACCGCTCTGCCGGGGGCAATGCTGGCGGGTGTCGTAGCCGAGGTTGTGGAGGGTCCAGTGGACTGCCGGAAAACTGCCGTCAGACGCAGTCCAAGTTGTTCTGCCGAACGAGTGCGGGTGTATTGCCTTGTCAACAGTATGGCACGAGAATCACTTGCCGTTCTCGCGCCTCGCCGGCCTGGCAGCCCGGTGGCGGAGGCAGCCGTCGACGGCAGTGTTCTTCGACCGGAGCCAGAACTTATTGCTCCACCTTATTTTTTTATTCACGGAGCCATTGGCTGCTCTATACATCACGCAGACAGTATGACAGTAACCTTTTCTAATACTGGTGTAACAGAGATCTGGTGCAACATTAATGACCGTCTTTCAAACTGTCTTATGAATTAGCGAATAAATGCCGCTTTTTCACCATGAATATTCTGTGTTTTCTATTCCATGCTGATTAGCGTCACTTCTGAACGTCCACCTGAGCATGATACATATAAGCAAGTGTTGGTCACAGTTCACGAACAGTCACCCCGTCGCTGATTTGACGTCATTTACATACCACAAGGGCTTGTTCATCAGCTGTCTCGTCATCATCGTTCAGCTCAGCCGTGCGACAGTAGGAATTGTAAGATGTTGATCAGTGATCACAGTAGCTGATTATTTTCCTGCCTCGAAAAGGCGCCGTTAGAAAGCAACCGTAGCGCATTAATGCCGCATTCTGTCTTCTGTCTGTCGGATAAAATGATGTGCATGTGGATTATCCTTGTGGCTGCGAGCTTGTCAGCGGCACTGGGTAAGTACTGTGCTGTACTGTATTGTTATTACCTCGCATGACTATATAGACCGCCAACGATATGTTGCGGAATTCAAGCGGCTGGATTTTGAAGGTGGTTCTGGGGAAAGCATTATCCCTGGACGCATACCCGGACACCGTGACTGGCTCCAGTGTGGACAGCTTTGCCGGTAGCGAAGATTTTGACGAATCTTTCAGCGCCACGGTTATCCCGCCAAGTTATCCCGATGATGACGACCCTTCCGCTGCCACAACAAACACTTCAGTTGGTGGACGAATCATCAGTAAGCTTACATTACTATTACGCCGTTATTATATTGTATTATTTCGACTGAGCAGTCGTAACCGACTTGCTGTGATGTATCGACCTAGCGACTATAACTGTACTGTTATAATTTAATAACTGTTTAAGATTTTACTAAATCAGTTGCTATCATATTATGAGCATGTGGTATTTCGTATGATACCGTATTTCAACAAGTGACACGTAAAATAGAAAGAAATTAGGTACAACTCGGCGCATAATCTTAGGAAATCTAAGCGCAATGAAAATCTATAAACCAGATGATAAACATCGTTTGCAAACTGGTCCTAGAATGACACTACAATTACCACTAACTTTTACCAGAAAGCGGAAAGAAAGTTTGCATGGTTAAAACTCAGAAAAACAATTTCATGAGAGCAATTTTATATGAGGAAGCGATTTTGCATGGTTAAAACTCATGGTTAAACTCAACTCAACTCAACTCAACTCATTGCATGGTTAAAACTCAGAAAAACAATTTCATGAGAGCAATTTTATATGAGGAAGCGATTTTGCATGGTTAAAACTCATGGTTAAACTCAACTCAACTCAACTCATTGCATGGTTAAAACTCAGAAAAACAATTTCATGAGAGCAATTTTATATGAGGAAGCAATTTTATATGAGGATAAAGTGGTACAAAATTGTTCCTGTATGTTCGAAATTTGTTGTGGGTGCATAACGTTGTATGTAACTGATTCCCCTTCCTTTGCAGATGGAAAAGCTGCGCCGGTCAACGAGTTCCGCTTTATTGTTAGCATCCGTCGTGACGACAGCCATATCTGTGGTGGATCGCTCATGCCGGATCTGAAATCCGTCATCACCGCCGCTCATTGTGTGCATGAGGAGAAATCGTAAGCACCACATTGTGACTAAGAAATAACAGCAAGTGACGGTTTCCTTAACAGGGGCAGGCGCATTCCAGTACGGGAGCTTAGTATCGCGGTGGGCATCCGGCGCCTCATCAGCGTCCCATTTTCCAACATAATCACGGTGCGCGAAGCCGTTGTTCATCCCGACTACCATCATAAAAAGATCCTCAACGACATCGCCATTCTGCGCTTGGCTGGAAGTGCCGCTGGGAAACGGAACGTGTCCAGCGTGAAGCTGCCGCCGGCACATGCGGAGCCGGCTCCGGGTACCTCACTGCACACCGCCGGTTGGGGCCGGACGCAGGAAGGACAGGCTGGTGCGGCGTCGGTGCAGCTGCTAAAGACCACGCTGAAGGTCGTGGATCGCGAGCGGTGTCGTCGTTCCCTGGGTGGAAGAGGACGGAGTCATATTCCGCCCAGCCAGATCTGCACCGAGAACCAAGCGTCCGGCACGTGCAATGTACGTTGTACGACTTACTCGTACTTCCAAAGCTTTAATTTTGTAATGGGTCAATAGCCAGTTGCGGCATAACCGTAATTGGTAACCCTCCCGCTTTATAAAGAACTTACTGGATGGTCACTTTTAAGCCCAACGCAATGAAGGCCCTATCGAAAACCCTAACGACAAAAAGTCTGTAGGTTATTAATTGGTAAATGGTTTTTGATATCTGTTAACTTAGTCAGTACTTGTTTGCCTAGTACCATTTTATCTTCATACTCCCTATTTACCAGGAATCTGCGTTTATTGTAGGGTGACAGCGGCGGTCCACTTGTTAATCGGCGAAGTGGTGTGGATTTTTTGGTCGGTTTGACGAGCTACGGCCTCAGAGGGTACGTAAATTGAACGGTTGCCATAAGCGTAAATATAAAAGTTCCACTACCGCTATAACAACGTCGTTAGCCAGCGCGTTTTCGCCCCGTCTGGGATAACCGACCCATAAAAAATTTAGAAAAAGGAAAACAAAAAAAAACTAAGAATTAAGCTTGAGGTCTTCTGTAACCGTTGTATCCCTGCAGATGCACCCTCAACACGTTGGACGTCTTCACCAAAGTCAGCCATTTTACAGACTGGATCCAGCGTGTCGCCAGCGGGGAAAACCCTGCCGGTACCCAACCTACACCCGCACCGGGGCGTCGAACCACTCCGGATTACCCTCCATGGGATGCCGATGAAGATAACAATCCTACTCCAGAATCGTTGCTGCAGACGACGCGAGAATACCCTCCCTGGGACAGTTCTGAAGATAATGAACCCACTGAAGCACCCTGGCGGGCAACCACGCGAGAATATCCTCCATGGGAGGATTCTGACGATACTCCCACTCCAGCGTCCTGGCGACGGACAACCCGAGAATATCCGCTGCGGGAAACTGATGACGACGGCCGTAATAATGGCGTCCTCCAACCAGGCGGTTGTGTTGGAGGGATGTGTGGTGGGACCAATGAGCTGCTGCGGAACTGCCGTACGGTGGCAGGGAAGCTGTTGTGTCAGACAGAGTACGGTGAAATGCCGTGCCAGGTCTCCGGCAATACACTCCGCTGTAGTTCAAGCTCTGAGACGCGGTCGTCTGATCGTTGGGATAGTCCTGGCAACAGCTGGTTAAGACCTGTCATGGGCAGCTGGGGACCTTCAGGCACTAGCAGCAGCAGTAGTAGTGGACGGCGATGCTACTCCGACGGGCATTCGACACAGTGTACTAGCTGGTCATCTTCCGGGTAACACCGCTTTAGAGGAATCGTTGCTGCAGACGACGCGAGAATACCCTCCCTGGGACAGTTCTGAAGATAATGAACCCACTGAAGCACCCTGGCGGGCAACCACGCGAGAATATCCTCCATGGGAGGATTCTGACGATACTCCCACTCCAGCGTCCTGGCGACGGACAACCCGAGAATATCCGCTGCGGGAAACTGATGACGACGGCCGTAATAATGGCGTCCTCCAACCAGGCGGTTGTGTTGGAGGGATGTGTGGTGGGACCAATGAGCTGCTGCGGAACTGCCGTACGGTGGCAGGGAAGCTGTTGTGTCAGACAGAGTACGGTGAAATGCCGTGCCAGGTCTCCGGCAATACACTCCGCTGTAGTTCAAGCTCTGAGACGCGGTCGTCTGATCGTTGGGATAGTCCTGGCAACAGCTGGTTAAGACCTGTCATGGGCAGCTGGGGACCTTCAGGCACTAGCAGCAGCAGTAGTAGTGGACGGCGATGCTACTCCGACGGGCATTCGACACAGTGTACTAGCTGGTCATCTTCCGGGTAACACCGCTTTAGAGGATTGTTTGTATTCCACTCACGTTAATGCTGTTACGGTGATTTAAGCTTTAAGCCGTTGAGTCGCTGACGATACCACCCAACACTTACAAAGGTTACCTGGCAACTGTTACGACAGGAGGAAATCAATAAATGTTAGAGAATGCAGTGATTACTATCCCAACACGCCACAAAGTAACACCATGCAAGTTACGGTCTTGGTCAGCTATCCGTAACTTAAATTCGAATTTACGACTTTACGCTTTTTAAGGGATGTTCGTAACCGGAAAAACCATTCATATTTAAGTGCGCTAAGCGCTTTCAAGCTTACAGATATGAACTGTTAGGTATCTCACGAGAATCATCCGCGGACAACAATTTCCACTTATCGCTAGACCCCGCAACAGCAGCAGTGTTAGCCCGTTTTAAAAATTCGACTATCGGACCGTTACCGCCTCGTTAACCGCCCGTCTGCCGAAACATGCCCGTTTTCCGGCACAGTGTCCGAAAATAAAATTTTATAAAACTTTTAGATGAATGTCCCATAAAATAATATTTCATTATTATTCAGACCAGCAAATTTTTAGTCACTTAAGCAATTCTGTGTAAGTATACTCGTACGCAGCAGCCAACAGTTAGCTTGTATAAATTGAACATTACGTAAACTAAAATTCTTTTATGTAATATATTTTCTGTTACCAACTTACAACACTGTCTACAGGGCCAACTTGGTTCGGTAAATCCGTAAATGGGTAGTGTTGAACAACTTCAGGATTCAGCCACCAGCAAATTATAATGTGATTATGATCTTACAATTTTTTTTCTGTTAAATTTTTTTACCGAAATGATTTTCCCCTAAGCATTACCCTTCAGCCTTGATCTGATCCGTTCGTTGATCTGATCTACAGATAGTTAGTGTATATAAATCCGGTATTTAGCCAGAATAAACGGACGACGGCAGTAGCCGTAGCAGACAAGGTGAATTAGTGAGTGAGTCTTAACACAGGAGAGTCGGACACAAGATCCAAAACGAGCCATTGCAAGCAATAATTACCAAAAAAAGAAATTTCACGATGTCCTGATTAAATTACTAATCAAAATGCCGGTCACATGTAGCGCACATCCTACGTAATAAGTGCCAGAATTATCCGGAAGTGGAGCTTGAACAGTCCAGACAGACAAAACCCCGTTGACTCATGAAAGTTGCAATCGCAGGCCGTTTCATCGCCGGATCATCCTCTAATCGTCCTGTCGTTGGGCAAACGATTCTGCGACCGTTTTGGCGCGCGGCCTTTGTGTAGGATCTGGTTCAAGGCACTGTTTCAGGATGTCGCGGTATGCCGGTGGCACCTGTTCAAGTGTACCAGGGATGACCGAATGGCTTTTTACTTTCATTACAGTGATTATATCCGGGGCGTCCAAAATATGGGTGTCGATTAAAATCTCTACAAGGGTCATTGCCAATGCATAAACATCCGAAGCTCGATTATGCTGCGGAAACTTGGTTTTATCAGTGGGAGATGGAACCAACAGCTCGGGCGCCATATAGTAAAAAGATCCGCTCATATGTGACGTGAAGTGCTTCATAGAATGCTCTATAAGGTCGCCAGAAGAGTAGCCGCTCATTCGACTAATTCCAAAGTCCGTAATATGTGCTTGCTTCGTTAGCAAATCAACCTACACATCACAAGTTTCAAGTAGCAAAGTTGCTGATTTCGATAAAGCAACATTAGTCTGATAGGTATTTGGAACGGGAATGCTTACACCCGTTCTTAATCCGACATGCATAATGAGACTCACCAATACGTTGCTAGGCTTTATGTCTTGATGAACAACACCAGCGTCATCGTGAAAATATCTCATTACATCCGCGATCTGCAGGCACAGTGCTCGCCTTTCCTCGTTGTTCAGCTCCTACGAAAAATGATTAAACAGCCAAATGCCATCATGACTTAATACCACGCAGATTCGGAAATTACGCATAAGTGTCTCCTGGCTTTGCAGCTATGTAACCTGGATGGACGTGGAGAGAATAGAAAACATACAAACGCAAGCCTGGAAGATAGGGATAGCATAACTAATGGCGAAGCATTGGAACAACATTCAGGTAAAACAATAACTAGCAACTATCCAACGTTGCACATTACCGTGTTTAGTTAATAATTATCAACGGGTTTTATTGTATTTTGCTGTACCAAGGTCATCTGGTACGGCAAGGTGTACACGTATCCACTAATCCATTTTAATCCAATGTAATTTTTATCCACTGAGTTGTCTCATCATTTTTCCTCCAAAAAGTATCTGCTCTAGGTCGAAACCGTCAATAAACTTCATCACGAGCAAAATGTCCGTCTGTGCCAGTGCAATGCCAAGAAACTGGACCACGCAGGGATGTGTTAAGCGACTAGAAAATTGAAATCAGAGTCATTATCAAATATCGGAGTCAGTAAGATCAATTGCGTACGTACTTGTGGAGTGTGGCCTCGTCCAGAATGCGTTGCTCTTCGTACCCTTGAACAAGACCTCTTGCAGCAATTTTCTTTACTGCGCATTTGGTTGCTCCCCACTGAGCTAGGAAAACTTGTCCGAAATTTCCACTACCAAGCACTTTTTCCAGTTTTATGTCGCCCCATTTAATTTTCTGGAGTTCTGTAAGAACACACACACAATTTTGGGCCAGTTATGAATTTATTGCCGAGCGAAGCGAGGCATTCTATACTTCAGGCTAGTCGGAAGCTCTCGTTGTTTGTGTGTCTGTCTGTCTGTCTGTCACCAGGACTGCAGACGATCCCGAAGACCAATCGCTTTCAAACTTTTTATACTGAGTTTTTATCTTAATATCTCGGTTAAGTTCAAATTTGAGCTGGATCTGGCCACGGGATAAAAACTGGGATTTCCGTTAAAATCCCATACTTTTGAAGTACTGCTTATTGTACCAGCTACCAAGGCGCTCTGTGCGCAGCTTCAGGATACTGTGCATGTCATGTGCATGCAGTGTGCACATCTGCAACGCACGGCTTCTCTAATCAAAAATGTATTAATCATAACACGCTTTTCAAATCACGAATTAAAATCAAATCACGATTTTCATCGACTAGAATTTATCGGAATCCAACTAAAAAACCAAAGTTAACCTTACAGTCTGAATAATGAGGGAATATTGTAAACCATTGTGGGCCCGCCCTGAAGCTCCGAATTGGGCTTCTGAATTCGAAATTTCGAACTGTTCAACTTGGGCTTCTGACTGGGACTTTTCGACTTGGACTTCGACTTCTTAACTTCAATTTATTTAATTTCGAAGATTCCACTTGTTCCACTTGCGAAGTCCAAGTTAAGTATGGCTGTGTGCATTTGTTGTACGCCGGAAAAAAGCATAAGTATATCCGGTATTCCCGTTTTATGTTGTCCCACAACATGAAAGACGAGTTGTGCAACGAAAACTTCGATCTTACTGTTGCTCACACAAAAGAGCGGCTGTTTAATTTTAAAGATAGTCGAGCTTTGCTGGCTGCAGAAGGTTGGAAAAGTGAATCGTTAGTGTGTAATAATGCTTCTGTGGTCATCTTTTGGGCATTCACATTCGCGAGGCTACGCTGTGCACGACAGAGGAGTGTATTCATTTTATCTTGTACATACTCTGTAAATATCAGTACTAAAGCGGATGAATGCTGTCCGAGCGGTTCACCATCTTATGGGCATGGCTATCTGTTCTGACCAGCTTACCATGGGCGCAATATGGCTGCGCACAATCGGTAGCATCAGGTGGCGCTGCGGCGCTGCCCATTCTATTTTTGAACGTGATTTCAGTTTTCGTTTTCGTGCGTGCGGGACGTGCTGATAAATAAGACCTGCGATCCAGCCGCATAGTGAGCTGATGTTTTTATTTTTGTCATCGAAATCATAGCTGCTTCGTGACCTCGCATCCTTTTCCAACCTGAACAGTCGAATGTTTGCTCGCTGAGAGCGCTGTATACTGTACTGACACCCTGCACTTGGAGAAATTTTCAGCGGTGCAGCCACATGTACAAGCCTGTCCGGTAATTTCTGTCGTAAAGATACAGCTAGCGCGAAGTTTGCGCTTAAAACGATGGCCACTTCACAACGTTTGGCGTAACATGTAAATTTGTGTTTTTCGCTGTATAAAACCGGCAGAAATTACCGGACAGGCTTGCACGTTCTACGATGCCGATTACGATCGCGTTCAAGCTCACACAAAAGGCCTGCAACCACATGCAGACGGCTAAATATTAGCTGAACGCGGTCGGCTCTACTTTAACCTGGCTGCAGTACTGTACTGCTCGTACTGTATAAAATTTCTCCGAATGCAGGGTGCCAGACTGTCAGTACAGTAAGCATTTCCACTTAAAATGCTTAACAGCATTGTTTTGAAACTTGTAGCCATCAGAATGTACAAATGGCAACAATATTACTTATACCGTACATTTATTATGAAATTTTGGGGGTGACGGAAGCTGACCGCTGGTCGTTCCCAGTGAGGTAGTACGATGCTGGCTAACTCATTATAAGTACGCCATTTAATCAGTGTTTTAAGCTGAGATATTTCACGTGGGAATAGAAAACTTGTATGCACAGATAAATACCTCCGTGCTTAGGAGCAAAACCGGAAAGGGGCAGTAGATCCGGTACAGAAGATCTGCTGGAACCTGGTGATGCGGTGCCAACCGGTATCTCAGGAGTACGCAGCTCTTCGGAAGCGTGACCGGGATTTAAACCAACTGCCTGGGGATTTACACGGAACTTTCTGGAACTAGTGCCTTTAACTTCTAGGATGCATTTTGGATCGCTTTCAGTGGATGTATGGAATTTACAAACAGTCAGCGGTGTTCCGATAAGTTCCGACATTTCATCTGCCCAGCTTCCAAATTCATCGGTTTGCAGTTCTCGAAATTTCGATTTCGAGTGAATTATCGTAACCTCATCGCCAATCTTTACAGATGAATTGTCCCCACACGTAACTAAAACAAGGAGACTTAATGGCGATGCTGTGCTCCTGATCAAGCTACTGTTTTATCTGAGCAGAGATCGCTCTTCACTTTCAGAGCAATGCCACCCTTAACAGTTGGCACTAGTGTAGCCTCGATTTAGGGTTATATGAACTTATATCCAAATATATCGATCCTATATTAAATAACTGAAATACGCGAAAGTAGCGTGACACAGGAGCCATGTTTTACAGATACGAAAATAGCCGCAGAAACCGTCTCGTAATGACTGATGTGAATTGATTAAAATATAGGTAACTAGCACTAATTGGCTCCATTTCGGATGTGATTATGCTCCAGCAAAAGACATCAAAAGGCACTTCAAAATTTGTTGCCGACCATTTAATTTTAAAACCACTTAAAGCCATGCTGAAACGTGAATAAACAAAATCAACATTTTTATTTGAAAACCCCCAAATTTGACAGCCGGGAATAAAATGAAAACCAGCAGTTAATTTACCTGTGAAAATTTTCTTTAAGGCTAATGGATTGAAGACCATGGCGTTTTCTCCGACGCTGACATAAACGTCGCCGTCAACATCGAAAAATACCACATCGGCGAACTTTCCCAGAGAGGATCGGTATTTATCAGTTACGATACCACAAACCTTGTTGATAAGATCCACGTCGGTAGTGATTCGAACTATATCATGTCGTGCCAGTGGCTGCCCATCAGCATCCACACAATGATAACCATCTAAGTGAAAATTCAACCTGGTCTGCATGTGAAGTGTAAACCATAGTTCAGGGTTTCAGTGTTGCACACGCACGTCTGCTGTGTACGTATGGTAGCAGTTACCTCGCGAAACGACTTTAAGAATGTCAGGATGGCACAGGGCGACTTTTGGGGCAGTACTGGGTCCGTTGAACAAAGTGACCTCAGCGACTCCAGCCGCTGTCATGAACTCAATTATTCCGCTGCAACCGGATAGTTCCGGAAGCATTTTCAGATTATGCTCGCTTTGCTTCGTTTTGGCCAGCGATTCATTGCTGCGGACTGTAACGACGCTGCCCACGGTTGGCTTTCCCAAACGCAGCCGTTTAACAGTGCGTTTCAATGATTTTGCGGTTTCTTTGCATTCTTTCAGTAGCTGTCGCAGCCGTTCTTCTTCACCTGGTTCTACGAGTACCATGAAATAATGTGTATAAGATTTCGGACACGATTTCTTTCGTGTTTGAAAGTTTATTAGTTTTTAGAACACTACATAATGGGTATTATTTTGTTGACCCTAGCTGCCAGTACTTTATTTCTATGCTTAATGAAGATTTCGGAGGAGCACTAAGTGCTCCAGCTGTTATCTGACCTTCTTGTTGCTGGCTGCGCTCCAATCGATTTTGAATCTCTGCCTCACGAGCACCTTCAATTTCATTGTAAATACATTGTGCTACTTCACCGTGCCCCGATGCTAACGCCAGCTGCACACTACGCCAGATATCGTCCAGAGGATAACGGTTTACGCGCTCATTAGCCAGCAGACATTCCACGGCTTCTTGATGGCCAAATTTTGCCGCTAGAGCAAGTGCTGTAAGGCCATCGCTGTTCTTCAGGGTGACATCACACTGCGGTTGGAAAAGGATGGCACTGATTATAGCTGCACGCTGCGATTCCTCCGCGCAGCCGGTGGCAGAAGCAGCTAGCATTAAGGCAGTCGCTTGTTTGAACCCAGTGGACAGTATGTTGATGTCCGCATCGACAGCGCCAGCCAGAAGCTGGACGATTCCGGGATTACGCCCGTTGACGGCCAGCATAATCGGTGTTAACCCAGCTACTTTGGCGTTAACCATGGTGGGTTGGTTTTTTAGGAGCTCTTCAACTTCCTTTGCGTCCTCCTTCAAAGCTGCCTGGTGCAACAGGGTCAGATCGCTACGCATTTTTTCTAGTTCGATGGTGTCATCATCATCATCGTCATCCTCGTCGTCGCTATCTAGATTTTACACAGACGTAAAACCAGCTATCGTGTGCAAAGTTGGTATGCTTCTGACTGATAAGGCAATAGCGCAATAAAGCGTTGATAATGTCCCGGACATTATCTTAAAGACTTAGGGGAATAACCCGATAACGCTCAATTCGTGTACGTCCACGGGAATTGCGGCTTTCGCACACTTCCCATGTGCCAATATCTTTTCCGGATTGCATTTTGACATTGTGTAGCCAAATGATTTGCATAGGTAAGCGTAAAATGGTTGGCGTCCCTTTGCGCGCGAAGTTATAAGGCCTTGTCCCGAATTCGAAGCGAATCTCGCTATGGTACGGTTGCTCAACCGCACGAAGTGGCTGTATGCAGTGGCCACACCTACAGATACGGTCACCTCGCGAGGTGGAGTTGCTGTATCGCAACGAGATTCGCTTTGAATTCGGGACGAGGCCTAAGAGTAACTAAGTTCCATAAAAAAACATTAAACACATCCGGGTATGCAAAAAGTCTCATTATGGGCCGATTAATCTTAAATTTTGAATCTTAAAATTTGAAAAACATCATAGAGCTCGAAATCGGTGTAAGAAAGATTTTTACAGTTATGTTTATTGCAAAGAAGATCGGCTCATAATTAGACATTTGGTACACCTGAATGCAGGTAAAGTTTTTTGGATTTTGCTATCCAAAGGAGTTATAACTCCGCAACAGGATTTCGCGCGCTCAAACGGATTTCACGCTTACTTATGCAAATCATCTGGCTACGGGATGTTATGAAGCATTCACTTTCCAACACGTTCCTGCATTGCTTTTAAAAAGCTTTGAACTGCGCGGAAGCAAACGTTCCCCTGAATGTACATGAACGTCTTGCTATGTACTGGGTCTTTTCTCTTAAAGGTCTCGCATTTGATAAAACATGTGTAACCGACCAAAACGTCCGGACGACTAAGACGTCCGGCGGACGTTTTGGTCGTTAAACCGACCAAACCGTCCGGGGGCCAAAAAAACGTCCGCCGTAAATTTTGCCCACTCAAAAATTTTTGCATTCTCGATGTGACCTGAAGCTTCTGAGAGCGTCTCAGCCCGGACACTTTGGGCGGAGCACTATTTTGACCGGACACTTTGGTCGGAGCACTATATCAGCCCGGAAACTTGGGTCGGAGCACTATTTCAGCCCGGACACTTTGGTCGAAGCACTATTTCAGCCCGGACACTTTGGTCAGAGCACTATTTTGACCGGACACTTTGTTCGGAGCACTATTTCAGCCCGGACACTTTGGTCGGAGCACTATTTCAGCCCGGACACTTTGGTCGGAGCACTATTTCAGCCCGGACACTTTGGTCGGAGCACTATATCAGCCCGGACACTTTGGTCGGAGCACTATTTCAGCCCGGACACTTTGGTCGGAGCACTGTTTTAGCCCAGACACTTTGGTCGGAGCACTATTTCAGCCCGGGCACTATGGTCGGAGCACTATTTTGACCAGACACTTTGGTCGGAGCACTATTTAGAGCCGGACACTTTGGTCGGAGCACTATATCAGCCCGGACACTTTGGTCGGGGCACTATTTCAGCCCGGGCACTATGGTCGGAGCACTATTTTGACCGGACACTTTGGTCGGAGCACTATTTCAGCCCGGACACTTTGGTCGGAGCACTATTTTAGCCCAGACACTTTGGTCGGAGCACTATTTCAGCCCGGGCACTATGGTCGGAGCACTATTTAGAGCCGGACACTTTGGTCGGAGCACTATATCAGCCCGGACACTTTGGTCGGAGCACAATTTCAGCCCGGACACTTTGGTCGGAGCTCTATTTTAGCCCGGACACTTTGGTCGGAGCACTATTTTGACCAGACACTTTGGTCGGAGCACTATTTAGAGCCGGACTCTTTGGTCGGAGCACTATATCAGCCCGGACACTTTGGTCGGAGAACTATTTCAGCCCGGACACTTTGGTCGGAGCACTATTTAGAGCCGGACACTTTGGTCGGAGCACTATTTCAGCCCGGACACTTTGGTCGGAGCAACATTTTAGCCCAGACACTTTGGTCGGAGCTCTATTTCAGCCCGGGCTCTATGGTCGGAGCACTATTTAGAGCCGGACACTTTGGTCGGAGCACTATATCAGCCCGGACACTTTGGTCGGAGCACTATTTCAGCCCGGACAGTTTGGTCTGAGCACTGTTTTGACCGGACATTTTGGCCGGAGCACTATTTCAGCCCGGACACTTTGGTCGGAGCACTATTTTAGCCCGGACACTTTGGTCGGAGCACTATTTCAGCCCGGACACTTTGGTCGGAGCACTATTTTGACCGGACACTTTGGTCGGAGCACTATTTCAGCCCGGGCACTTGGGTCGGAGCACTATTTTGAGCCGGACACTTTGGTCGGAGCACTATTTCAGCCCGGACACTTTGGTCGGAGCACTATTTTGACCGGACACTTTGGTCGCAGCACTATTTCAGCCCGGACACTTTGGTCGGAGCACTATTTCAGCCTGGACACTTTGGTCAGAGCACTATTTTGACCGGACACTTTGGTCGGAGCACTATTTCAGCCCGGACACTTTGGTCAGAGCACTATTTCAGCCCGGACACTTTGGTCGGAGCACTATTCGGACCCGGAAATTTTCAAAAATTATTACAACAGCCACCGCGGTTTCGCTTGTTTCTCTGCGAAGCTTTAACAGTGATGTTGAAAAGTGCAAAAAACGCAAATTTAGTGATATCTGGATTGTAATTACAAAGTTTTTGACTGGTACTTTTTCTATTGAAATGATGGGCGACTTATGTAAGTGAAACTAAGTTCAAACGGAAATTGGTGTGTTAAAAGTTACATACGGCATTAAGCTTCCTCAGTCATCGTGTATTGTAATATGCTTCTGGTGGAATATAATGTACAAGCAAGTACTACATATTTTACGATTAGGAGTACGTCAAAATCAGTTCGGACATCTATGCTCGTAATCGGTACTAAACTTTACCACGATATTTGATTCGCCTGGCACGTTTACAGTAATAAACTTCTTTCCAAAACTGTTTAATTACGGTATTCATTATGTCAAATATCAAAAATCAATAATAAAGCAGAGAATGAAACATAAAAATTGAAGATACAATTATATCATTTCCATTTTCGCTAGACTGATGTTCCCATCCATTCGTATATACCACGCTAGTCCAAACCAGTGCACGTACTCCTAGACTTCTGGGTCAACCTGCTGGTGCCGCCCAGTAACGACCCTGGCGATGCGGTCTGACTGGCTGGCAGTGATGATATCAAGCAAAGGGGCGGCACAAGCATCAGTTCCCTTTCTTTCTGCAATGAAGTTCGTAATTAATTGATGTAATCTGTCTAAAATGACCAAATTGCAAGTCCAAAATAACAAGATTAAATCGGAAACCGAATCCACAGCAGGCTAGAATAATTCTTATATCGGACGAATTTTGTACTAGACACTTAGCTTTGCATTTAATGCACTGCCAGGCGTCGACTTTAGTTTGGTAAGGGTCGTGCGCTTTCTTGGTCGTAACGCAGGAACGATGGTACAACCTCCCGCAATTTGTACAAGTCATTATCGATTCAGCGTCAAACAAAATAGGCATCCTGCAGTCGCAAATTAATTTTACGGACACCTCTTTTGGGCCTCCATCAATCTTCCTGCTTCTACTCGGAAACGGTGTCATTTGCTGATTCTCAAGACATATGGCTAAATGCCGTCGCATTTCCTAATAAATATACGAATTTTAGTTGTAAAGAAGAATGATTGTAAAATATCCACAAACGATTACCTTTTTAGCGTATCGCTTTGCTGATGGTTCAAAGCCGTAGCACTTGTCTGTATAATAGGCAATAGCGTATACCGCAGAGAAGCAGAAATCGTTCTGAAGTAAAACGGATGGCCAGCGCAGACGCATAACATCGCTATCCCGAAACCGAAACAATGCCGCAATTTGGGACTCAGAAAATATGTCGGTATAGGGCGCCAGGCTGTCGTACACGAGGACGATATCCAAAGGCTCAGTGTGCTGGTTAGTGACAACTGCCCAGTGGTCATCTTTAATTCGCAACAAAACCAGTTTTCTTTTGTCACTACAGCTTTGTTCCTCGCTTTCTTGTCTGCGGAGCTTTCTCACAGCATCAACTTTCAAACCCTTTCCAGCTTCGCCTTCCTGATTAAAGCAAAGTGCATCCGGCAGATCAACAGTATCCGGGAATTGGCGATGCAAAAAGAGCTGTGCAGCTTGCATCACTGTGGAGGCGAGATGTTTTTCTTCGTCGGCTACGGTAACTAAGTCGGCACGGGATAAAGTGAGGCTGGGAACTTCTGGGAAAGGGCCGAGCAGTGCAGGTTGCTCCAACCGAGCAGTATTGCCGAGATTGTTTTCTGCTAAGCAAAAAGACAAAAGTTGTAACTGCGAATTATGTGCGCAGTTTGTACATAAACAATAACACAAAACAGGGAAGCTTTACCAAATTCGTATATTATGACTACGGGTAATAGCCGATTGTCGGCTGGTGACGAAGAACAAGTCCTGATCAGTTTGATTTCTCGGACGCACTCTGTGAGCATCGACGTACATATCCGTTTAAATTACGATTTACTTAAAATCGATGCTGCGTGCACGGGGAAACACGGATGCTGGCTGCGTGCACGGGTGTTGGCTGTGCGCACGGGTGACCTTTTAGGTCCGCACGAGTGTTGGCTGTGTGCACGGCCTTTTCAATTTTAGTTTTCTTATTATTTTCGAATTATGGTCGGAACAATTAGAGTTTTCCAGGTCTTATTCAACCATAACAGGTTTTTCAACCGGTTTCTGACATATTTTTTCAAGGCCCATAATCCAGTAATAGTAACAGATACTTTTTCTACGCGGCTTGATGCAAATGGGAATGGTGTTAGTTGCACAGTTTATAAGCGGCCACCAGGTGTATTCGCATCAGACCTTGCTCAAAGGTGGCCGTTTCAGGATCTGTCCCGAGAACGAACGCCAGGGCTATACTGCAAAACTTCTCACGTTTCGACTCTTCTTACTGTGACTCTGAAATACTACATGGTGCTGCACAAACAAGCATTAACCGGTAACATACAGATAGTACTTGCTATGTACAGCAAATTTCGTAGTAACTGTTTAGCCTGTTTAGCCTGTTTAGCCTGTAGGTAATGCACTGTAGTTACTGTTTTTCGTTGAAAAATTATGGGTTAAGTGAGCAAATGTC